CTCTCTGGCAGTGCTCATCAGCCTTCTGGGTGCCTTGGATCCTGCCCCAGGGCACCACCAGCTGGAGGGAAAACTGACACACCTAACCCCAAAAATCTGGATTCCAGGAAGAGACTGAAATTAGATACTGGAGCATCCAATTCTTGACATTCCTAGGTCCTTGGTAGAGCTATTCTGGTTTTAGTTTCCCACATGAGGAAATAAGGATAGTACATTCATGACTCACAGGGATGTCAAACTAACACCATTAATAATTAATTATTAACTTTGCCCATTAATCATGATAACTATTAAAAGCATTTCTGTGTGCCTGGAATTCATGATACAAAACACTGAGGACTGTCAACATATTGGAAACCAAACAGGAAACAATTTCAGACTTTTTTCTAGGGCACCACACTAACAAAAGAAATAATTAGCAAGGAGGAAGATCAGGAAAGGGATTAATTTGGTTTTGTGTATCACAATCACCTGATTTTCATATAACGTCATCTTGGGAAAAAACCAGTGGCTACTGAAGATTGCATGGTTTGTGAGGTAGATAAGTTAATTTTAAAAACTTTTTAATAAGAATCACATGTTGAAATCATACCACCAGGCATGATGTCTGAACAGGGTGTGTTCAAAAAGGCAAAGTATATTAACACAGATTGAACAGTGAGCTGATACAGCTGCGTGGCTACTGGATCTGCGGTGGTTTATTTTAGGCAGCTCAAGCCATGGCTGTCATAGCTAATCCAAAAAAATGTAGCCTTAGAATATGCACCTCATGGAATTTCCCTCTTTCCATCAACAAGCATCAAGTATCTCTCAGTGTACATGCCCTTAAAATTAACCCACCAAATTGGAACAAGATTTTTTTGGGGTGATGCTCTGGTCTCTTATTCACTGCTTGAGCCAGTTTGATGTGTTAGCTTAAACTGGGGAAGAAGGGTATAGGCATATGTTCCCTTTTGCAGCTTACAATACATAATGGTGCTCTGCAGGGGGGTGGATAACAAGGAGCATCTGGGAGACTGGAATGTCTTGGATCATCACAACCGTATTAGACAGGCTTAACACTGAAGGCTCCAAAGCATGATCCAAGAACAAAAGATCAGAGCAGACCTTCAGAGCAGTAATATGCTCAAATGTGCTGGAACCTACCTATCTCTTTATCCTTTAAAGGGGGCTCAGGGGCAACATCCCCCTCAAAAGTTCTAAAATATTCTACTGTAACATCAAGTACCCTCCACTTCTGATTCCTAGAGAGGCTTTCCTTAAACTCTGGAGTGTAAACCTCACTCTCAAACTCTTGTATGCAGCTGTTCTAGAGAGACAGATCAAGCCACTACTGACAGAATTTTCCTTTAAAAAAAAGTGGAACACACAGCTATTCAATATGCAATGAGTACAAAAGCCGTATTATTTCTGCATCAGCTTGTGCTTGTTTGTGCGTGTGTGTGTATGCAAACGATAAAACGACAGCATCCCTCACACTGGGTTGAGGACACTGGCTTTACTCTTAAACAGAAGGACTTGTTTCAGAAACTACTGTTCAAAGTCCAAATTTTCTATAGAAATTTCTGTAGGAAAGTATTCCTTTTAGAAATTCTACATTGGAAATAGCACAATGCGGATTACTTGGAACCGAGGACTGGAAGGCATCAATTCATCTTTCCAGTTGGCCTCCCTCAACGACCCCTATTGCACTTGCAGGCCATCCAACCTACTCATGGGGTCCAAGAGCAGCTGCTCAGCTGTTGCTCTCGCCAGAGTTTATTTCTCATCCCATCTCTTTCAGGGACCAGACTTCTTCACACTTCCTAAAGTTCAACTCAGCACTTGACTTCTAGGTAGATTTCTTCAGCAGACCATCACAAGCATAATGCGGGATCAATCGGCGATCCAAGAGTGCCCAGTCAAGGCCAAATAATCTAGCGTTAATAGCTGGACAACACAGATCATGTTTGGTATGACTGTCTCCATGCACTTCTTTAATGATTACTTCATGCAAGCATGAAGCACAGACTTAAGCACTAATCATTACTAAAGTTACATGGTGAGTACATGCATAAGCCCCATAATGTCAAAAGCTATACGTGAACATTTCTCATCTCTTTTTTATATAATACCCTTTCATGGCTCACACATGCCAGACCAGGTACCATATTGTGATTAGTCTAGGCTCAGGAACCTTCTTTAGTCATATCCTTACATATACGATCTATCTGCTGTAGGCAACTAATCACATGCAACCTGCATCCTTCCTAGATAATGCGTATCATCATCATCATCTCATCTATCAGCCATATTGCCACTAGATTGCTGTTGACAAAGTCAGGCTTTGTGCTTTTCAAGTCTGTACAGCTGACATTTGTTGGAGTTGCTGTTCTCTGTACTGCTTACACTTCCAGCTTGCTGACCCAGGTCTTACTATCAGGGAACTTCATTATTTAATCTGCACTGCAAAATCACTGAGCTCTACCACAGAAGAATAATATGTTCCTCACTACCCAAACTAGAAGATTTTTCCAGTTCTTAAAGAATTTTTAAGTTTCAGCCAAAATAAAATTCTTGGATTTGGATTGTTCATCTTAAAGTAATATGCAGATCAAGAATGGAGATCTTACCAAGAGGACCGTTCAATGACAGCTTTAATCTTCATTCAAGACAGAAAATTCAGACATCAAAAGACCTGAAGCAGACAGATCTATGAGGCTGCTACTTCAAAATAAATTTAATTTTTTTTAGTACAAACAGTCTCAACTTCCCCTTTTACCCAAACCATGCATAACTCCTTGTACCAGCACCGGAGGGCGTGTGGCCATATTACAAGCCAGATGAAGGAAAAGGTCCAATTGAAGATTAACCTACAAAAAAACCCCCAGCAGCTTAAAGTGACCTGAAACCACAGACTCTGGCTAGGATTTGCATTGAGTTTGTAATGGGGCTATTCACACATGGAAGCAAATAACCTCTCACAATGTACCACGCTGGAATCCTGACAAGTCCACGTGTTTCCACACAGCACGCAACTATGTTAGACATGATTTTATATTTCCACAGCCTATTCAACATAATTAGGACTCAGAGATGAGTCTGGCCAAGGCACTCTTAAAAATACTGTTGGAACATTGGTTTCCTAAATTAAATTGCATGCAACTGGATGAAAAAAAAAAGAGAGCAGTTTCTAGTGCATTGTCCTGGTTTCAGCTGAGAGGATTGATTTTCTTCATAGTAGCTAGTTTCGGGATATGTTTCAGATTTGTGCTGGAGACAGCATTGATAATATAGGGATGTTTTTGTTCTATGGACTTATTGTTGAGCAGTGTTTACACGGGGCCAAGGCCTGTTCTGCTTCTCGCACTGCCCTGCCAGCGGGATGGCTGGGGGTGCACAAGGGGTTGGGAGGAGACACAGACAGGACAGGTGACCCAAACTGACCAAAGGGATATTCCATACTATATGACATCATGCTCAGTTTATAAGGAGCTTGGGGGAAGGGGGAGGGGGGGTGGTGGCGTTCGGAGCGATGGCGTTTGTCTTCCCAAGTAACCGTTACGCGTGACGGAGCCCTGCTGTCCTGGAGATGGCTGAACCCCTGCCTGCCCATGGGAAGTGGTGAATGAATTCCTTGCTTTGCTTTGCTTGTGCACGCGGCTTTTGCTTTACCTGTTAAACTGTCTTTATCTCAACCCACGAGTTCTCTCACTTTAACTCTTCCAATTCTCTCCCCCATCCCGATGGGGGGGAGTGAACGAGCAGCTGCATGGTGCTCAGCTGCCAGCTGGGGTAAAACCACGACATGCATTTAAAGAGTTTGTACATTAAAAAGGAGATCAACTCGAAGCAAGTCTACTTTATGCTTCTAGTAGGTTAATGGACAGCTGTGTACATCTTAAGTTGATTGCCTTCTCAAAGTGATGTCGTAACGTTAGACAGAACTGTACATAGTTTGCTAGAAATCCAGAAAGAGCACTTGCAACTTTCTGATGGACCTAATTCAAAGAGAAAAAAACCTCACAGCACCTAGACCGCCTTATTTGAAAGGATGAAAAAGTCAACATTAGAATTAAAATAATTTTATTTCAATGTACATGAACAGAAATAAAATATAATTTTTTTAACTTACTTAGATATATTGCTGGGCTGGCCCAATCACAAGTGTTCTCCATTACAAGGCAGCAAGACTGACTAGACCCACTTCACTGCTTTTTGGACCAACTGGATTCAAGGTACCACCTCAAAAGGGTCCTTCAGCACACAGCAAATTTTTTTTTTTTTTTTTGGAAAACAAAACTCATCAACCAGAAATCTTACATTGTGTTCCAAGGAAGATGTCCCTTGAAAATTCTGTCCATTACTGAAGAACAGTACACAGTATGCGGCGCTATATCTAAACTTAACAGATCAAGGTTTTTCCCAAATACTTTTCTCTATTCTACTCTCTTGTACAAAGCATCTGCTATAAAATCCACACATTCAAAACCACAGAATTATACAAACCCGTGAACGAGGCTGTTTTCAATATGCTTGTTGCTATGTGCTATCACCCGCTGTATCAGCTTTAACATGCAGCGTACATAGATGGTAAAGGGGCATTTCTCTTGACCACCTATTTCAGAATTCACAGAAGTTTTTCTACAACTTATAGTGCAATGTAGTTAAGTTATTCAATGTCATGATATGGCACCATAAGATATGCAATCATTTGTTAAAATGCACAATTCCTTTCCTAATAATTTTGTGGTGCTTTACTGATAATATAAATAATAATAAACTTAAAAAGACAACTGGAAGAGGAACTGATTGGGAAAAATCTTTTTAAAAAGTGTCTATCAGTTCCTTTAATAAAATTAGAAGAAAACCTGGAACTGTCAGATTCAAAGAAAACAATAGGAAGTAGTTCTTCACACAACACAGTTAAACTGTGGAGTCCTTGCCATGTGATGTGGATGCTAGGATACTATGAGAATTTAAAGAGATTTTTCTTCCACGATTTTAACCAGCAAATGCTCTCAGATACAGAGTTCCCCAAGCCACAGACTGCTTAAAGTATATTCTGGGGAAGCATTGCTATCTGCTCACCCTGTTTTTATTCTTCCTTGCGCATCTGCTTTTGGCCACTGAGACTGGATGCTGGGCCAGAGGGACCTTTGGTCTGACTTGGTACAGTTGGTTCTTACAGTTACTTCCAAACACTCAAACACTTCATAAACTTATACTTAAGATGAAGTTCATCATTTGCCACGTTAGTTAGAAGGACTTAGATTTTTGAATTACAAATGACTTCCAAAAGAGAAAAAAAAATATTTAAGCTTTTTTTCTGCTATGACTCAGTTGTATAAAACTGTATAGAAAAATGGGCATTATGTGCAGATGTAATGTAAAGCAGTAAGCTTTATAAAAAACATTCTTAGAAATGTACCAAGCATAAACAAAAGATGATTTACAAATACATTTAGCTGTTCTTCTAGTCATCATCAGAATCTGAATCGTATTTCTTTCCTCTGATGGGCTTCTTATCCAACTTTGTAAAGCTTGTTCCAAATTTCTTTTGACTTTGAAAAGGTGGGTCCATCAAATTTCCACTAGAGGAAAAAGAGTAAGACTTATTGATCAAAGCTGTATTCATGCAGACAGTAAGTAGCATATCTAATCATCTGTTTCTCCAGGAAAGCACTGTAAGAGAACACAGCCCCTACTCCCTAAAGCCACCCTAAGTAGCATTGCAGTGTTGCTAGCACAGCACATCCCGGACAAAATGGCCTAGATATCTCTAGTTAAGACAGGAGTGTGAGTGTAAACAGCACCTGAGTGGAGCACTCAAGAAAAACTGTCTGAAAGGGCTTTTGCTGCAAACTGATCAGGCTAAAGACAACCATCTGTCAGATTAAACAGCAATGAGGGAATTACAGAGAGACTTCTCAAAACAAATGAGGAGCCAGAAGCACAAAAGAAGGTAAAATTTTCTAACAGAGACTTCGGAGTAGAAATGGATGAATCAGAACTGTGTTTTGTACTGCCAGAAGTCATCTTTATCTCTGCCCGGGCCAGACGGAGCAGCTTCCCCATCGGACACTGCACTCTAGCTAGTGGACTACGGAGGGACTCATGCCTCAGTGTGCATGTATGACCCTGCAGGGGCTTTCCCGCCAGCGTGCATGTCCACGGGTTGCTGGGAACAGCAGGTGCTCATGTAAAGCTGAAGCACCCACATCTCCTACAGCGGGGTGCGCAAGGAGGGCAATCCCCTCCATTTGCTCAGAAAAGGGCATGTGGGCTTTCGCTCACACGACCCATGAGGGGTTTGCATCTAAGTGCCAGTGAGTGAGAGAGCAATTACAGCCTTCTGGAATTAGCTATAGAAGGGTGTTATAGAAGGGTGTTTAGAAATGTGTAGGTATTAACATTTTGTAAATAACATTTTGCTGACATTAATCCTAAATCTACAGGTCACTGATTGCTAGTAAATTACATGTCAGTAATAAGTCAATACAGCACTTGAATCCTGATTTTAGTCAAGCAGCATGACCTGAACAGTTTTTCCCCTAGATACAGCATATCCTTTCACCATCTGCTATCACACAGGTTGAGGGAAAAGAACTGTTTCTAGATGCTGAGGAGGACTATCTCCTTTTCAGGAACTCCAGAGTGTGGGACATCACGTTCAAAGCAGCATGGAAATGCAACACTTGTACATAACTGGATGTCTCCTAGAATGTCCTAGTTTCAGCTGGGACAGAGTTAATTTTCTTCCTTGTAGCTGGTATAGTGCTGTGCTTTGGACTTAGGATGAGAATAATGTTGATACACACTGATGCTCTAGTTGTTGCTGAGCAGTGCTTACAATTAAGTCAAGGACTTTTCCGCTTCCCAGGCCCTGCCAGTGAGGAGGCATGAGCCTTCTGCAGGAGGTGCACAAGAAGCTGGGTGGGGGCACAGCCAGGACAGCTGACCCCAACTGGCAAAGGAATATTCCACACCATGTGACATCACGCTCAGTATATAAGCTGGGGGGAGTTTGCTGGGGAGTGCCGCAGCTTGGGAATTAGCTGGGTATCTGTTAGTGGGTGGTGAGCAATTGTGCTGTGCATCACCACTTGATTTGTATATTCTATTATCATTATTATTATATTCCTCTTCTGTCTTATTGAACTGTTTTTATCTCAACCCATGAGTTTTACTTTTTTCGGTTCTCTCTCTCATCCCACTGCGGGGAGGCGAGCGAACGGCTGTGGAGTTGCTTTAGCTGCTGGTCAGGTTAAACCATGACATGGGCTGTGTGGATATTGTGGCTCACTTTGCAAAGCCAGAGTACCAAACTCAGCATCTGGCAAAACGAACAAAGAACGAAACAACTCCTCCAACTCCACAAGGAGCTAAGAGCGGAATACACGTACTAGTAGAGTCAAGTAGGAAGTAAAATTATGTCGTAAGCCAATGTACTAACATTTAGCAAATTCAATGCAGCTTGGTGCAACTCCACTGTAAGATTTCTCCCATAAAAAGCTGTTGCTGTCTAGAATATATATCCAAGTGATCTTTGACTCCTCTGCATATTTACTTGTTACTGAACTGGGAAGTGGGTATTAACACTTGTTTTGAATGATACATTTTCATTTCAGTCATTTCATCCGAAGTTCAACAGCTACTAAACTAAACTGAACAGTAGTTCCTTTGCCTTTAAGATACAACAATACTTTTTGCCAAAATTTGGAAATCAGACATTGAAATAAATTCAGATAATGAAGTTTAGAATTAAAAAAAAAGAAAAAGCCAAAGACATTCAAAACAAAAGAGCAAAATTAACCTAAAAAGATAGAGATGACATTTTAGCCACACTGGAAAGCAAAGCAGAAAGGCCTGGTAAATGATTCTCCAGTAAAGCCAGGCTATTGTGGTAACAGTTATCTTCTACTGCCTTCTATCCTGTAGTCTTAAATATGGGATTTATGATGATTATATTGTACTGCTACACAAATAATTTATTTGCATTTCTGCAACTTATTTTCATTTTCTGTACTGTTCATTAAAAACACATTCACATATGTAACACGTGGACTAAGACAGTTTAAGGATTACTTGCTGAGTATTCTCTGAACTGGATTAAAAATACTCCAACTTTACCGCACTGCAACTGTGACCTCTAAGCATCTATAGCTGATTTAGAAAGGATCACACTAGACGCATGACTGAGAGGCCATATCAAAGCAGCGTAGCTACTCTATACACCTCACAGCAAGAACTGTTTATTTTTATTACTGTACAAAAAGGACGACATAATGCTCATTATAATGTCTCAATACTTTCCCAAACAGATACTCTCTTCTTTTCCTTGCCAAAGGACACAGATCAAATAACTGGATCAAATTCTTGTGTGTCTTAAACATACAACATATCAGTTACAAATTCTCCTGTCTGCAAGCATGTTCTCCTTGCACTCTATCTGAAAATAAAACAATCACAAAACAATTAATTACCTGTAATTAATTACATCTGCACAGCCTAATCTCCATTCTAAGGTCTCTGTAGTGAAGTCATCAGTGTTACCGAGATCAGTAAAGCCGACAACATAGTCTTGTGTTTTTCCGTCTTTTACTAGTGCTAGAGTGGGAATTACTTTGATGCGCAGTCTCTCGCATAAGAAAGGAGATTTTTCAGCATTTAATTTCAAGAATTTTGTCTCAACATGCTTTTTTGCCAATACAGTCAAATGTTTGTCCATTATTTGGCACCTGTGGGGAAAAAAAATATAAAGTGTTAGAATCAATAAGCTGAAAAAGATGTATTTTAGAGAAAGTTTAAAAGGAACAGTAAAGAGCTAGTTCTGTCATGTTAATTCCTCAGATATGACCTTTGTAATTATGAATTTAGTTTCAAAAGAAACTGTGTTTCAAATGTAGCTGGATTTAATGGCTAATAGAGTAACAGCCTGGAGCACCTTTATTGCACAATTATACTATCCATTTCTCTAATTTCTTCCTAATTACTCCCACATACACCTGAAAGCCTCTCTCATTTCTTGAGAGCATTTATTGATACCATTTCCCACCAACTTCTATTCTTCCTGCTCTAGCTTCATTGTCTGTCATCTGGAAAATTTCTCTATAATGAACTTCATGTCTTCAGAGTACTACTCTTAACATGTTACAGTGTTTTGTATTTTTTTCAGTAACCGTCTCCACGACTGAGATGCAGTCTGTACTAACTTTACAGGAATAAAAAAAGAAATTATTTGTACAGACTGCTTCAGTAGCACTATAGGCAAAAATATTTCACTTTTCTGTTGCAATCAAATAGGAGTAAGCATACAGTTACTGTGTTTCAGTTACAGGACAGTAACATGAACTGCTCAAAATACTTGTCAGATGGCAGAGATGTGTGGACTTGTCACCTGCAATCTCAACTTTCTGGATTGTCATCTTTAATTGGTTTGGCTTAGCTGTGTGAACTCTGTGATGTGATTGTCCTTTTAAGTCAAAAGGAGAGCTGAGCAGATCAAAAAGCTGGAGTGGGCAAGGATGAAAGCAACTTGATACTGAGGTTGGTAAACCCGACACACTACCTTCAAGCTGGTTGTCAGCATGACACATTTTACAAAGAACCAAAGAACCTTCTCTGAAGTTCTTCCTCCTGAGTCTACAGACCTTGTTGGGTCAAGAAAAAAGAACCAAACAACCCAAACCTGTTCTAAGCTACTTTATTTGCAGAGACAGACTTTCAAACTTGAGTAAAAGCTAGCCAAATACAACTGCTTCAGATATTTCTGAAACTTAAACATTTAACTTAGAAAATACAGGACACAGATACCTCACTGCATAATCCAGCCTTGACCTCTTTCAATTTCTCACATTGAGGCTGTTTCAGTTTATATTCTATAAACTAGAGAGAACAAAACATCTTGGGGGTAAAAAACCACCAACCAAAACCAGGACAACTGGCTACTCCTTCAACAAACTACTTCGCAACTGCATTTTAACCGAAGACATTGAGACAGACCCACTGAGCAACAGCCCACAACCCAGAACTTCTGAAATTCTTTCAAGGAAGCGTGAGATCTTATTTTAGGTTTCTATCCTGAGTCAGGACATACTCACAGATCTAGGTCTCTCACACCCTAAAAAAGTGACATAATTACAAAGGCACAGGCACAAAGGGAAAGCAGCTGCAACTGATATCCACGGATCCTTTCAAAGTAAAAGGGAAAATTCTGAAGATGCCTAGACAAGTTTTTGTTTATATTTTTATTTTCATTTGCCAGAACTGTCCAGAATATCTCTGTCTGGAATAACCAGATGCTGCTGCTAGTATGGTCACTAAGTTTACAGACCTGGCTCTGTCAAACTAAATCAATAACAAAACATAGCACTCTTTCAAATACTGTCAAAGTAGTCACACATTTATATTCTAATCAACTATGTAACAGGGTATTAATTGTTGTCAAATCATGTTCAGATTGACTGGAATGGGAAAAAAAATTAAAAAAATGTCTTGAGACGGGAGGGAGATTTGGAAAATGAAGGAATTTGAATACTTGTAAAACTGCCTATTTATTTGTGGGATTTGAAAGAACAAAAGAACACATCTGTTTTTGTAAACATCTATAAACAAAAGGTTTCTTGAACGTAGCTGATTTACTGTACCTGAACGTTGTATCTCTATAGAAATGGCAAACCACGTTTTTACTTTCTTTGACTTCTTGGAAAAAGTCTCTCTCACTTGGGATTTCTCTGTATTCTCCATGTCCTTTTGAAAGCCACTCCTTTTGGAAAACACAACAGGAAATAATTAGTATGGAGTTTGTTAGTCCTGCACCTGTCATGCAAGCTCTACATCTTTCAAGAAAAATAACAGAGGGGGACTACAGTGGAAGCCCATTTCATACAGTAATAGAAGGAGAAACAAGTTACTTCCTCCCTTTAGTTCTGTTTTGAAAATATGCAAATGCCACTTGGCTAGACAATACTTTTGGGTTGTGTCTTTCTCAACAACAGATAGGTGGTTGACCAGTAAGGCTACCTTACTTATTTGGAAATACAAATTTTGCACAGAGCAGCATAAATTTCTGCAGTACAGCCTCTCGGGAAGACTAGACTAGTTCAAAGAGAACACCAATGACAGAAAATTCTCAGCATTTGAAAACTGCTCATCGACAGCTTGGGCTATGGTCTCTAAAATGTTTTTGAACCCTCAGAGAACTCTTGTCTAAAACTGATTCAAGTCATTACATGTATTAAAATAGATTTCTAATTTTTCCCTCTATGAGAACATCAGGGAGAAAAAAGCCTACTAACTGACCTGCAACAGATGATGTTTATCAAAATGATGGTATCCTAATATGAGCCGGGCTTCCAGAAAACCATTTAGAAGACACACATACATTAGTCATAAAATGTATGGAGAAACAGCATTTCACAAGCTAAAATTTACAGGCAACTTCAAAACCTGCCCGATTAAGTGTGGAAATACAGTTTAGAGAAAGCTAATCTGCAAGATTTTCAACAAATGCACACTTAAGAAGAAAACCAGCTTCTACAATATTGGAAGTTAATTGTAGTGTATTAAAACAAGTACAAGCTAAGCTAGATGACTAGAAGTAGTGCAGTAAAACAGAACTGGACAAAGAACTTTCCGGTGGGGGAAAACAAATTCAGATAAATCACAGTTCTTGATCTTGCAGTTTTGTCTTAGCAGAGTGGAGGAAAAAAATGTTTCCAAGCTAAATTAGGATAGAACAAAGACTTTCCTGAACATTGTACACATTAAAAATGCATATGAGCATATGGAGAAGTCATCATGATGCAAATCAAGAACTGATCCTTCAACAGTGGGTATGCATTAATTCCTCTCTGCACAATCCTATTCCAGAATAGCATGGTAGCATACTCCTTTTGCTGAGTAGTATCCTACTTCAAATTTGCATTTGAAAATGCATGAGAACAGTGACTTAAGATCAACTGACATGAACAAGTTTTCACATGAGAACTACCACATGATCACATCCAAAAGCATCCAAGTGTTATGACTTCTGAAAAAGGAAAACACTAGAATCAAATATAAACTGAACTTCTGAACACAAGCAAATAGCATGCCACTTTCTCTACTTTTGTGTTTAGAGACTCAAAGCCGCTAACACTGCTGTCCTCCAGCATCTCAACCATGCCATGACATTTTACTGCATTCCCGTTTCAAAGCATGGCATTAGCTTTTATGGGTTCCACCACAGCCAGAGCATCTCCTTTCAACCCAGTCACCTGCCCCACAACCCAGTCTATTTCTTTGTTCAGGTTTGCTTAGATGGAGTAAGCTAAGAAACCTATGCCTTTCCTACTTACAATTCAGGTCTCACACCATATGTTACCAAAATTTTGGTGAGAACTATGTTCAAAGAGGCTTTTTGGGGAGCATAAAGACCACAAGTTAGCATGAGGTATCAGGGACCAAAGCAGAATTTCTCTTCTGCAAGAAGAAATGAGCAGTCATATAAAGACAACATTTCATTGGGTTAGAAGGAGCAGGACAAACAATTCCACACTAGGAACAAGGAAAGACCCGGTATCATTCTGCTACAAAATACCTTAAGAGAAGAGCAGGCGTCACTTACATGCCATAAGTAACAATCTCCAGAATTCAGAAGCTTAAGGAGCCTAAAGGCTTACGATTAAGTTGCCTACAAGGCTTATGCTTCCAGATAGCAATATTCAGTGAATAGGGACACACTTAAATCTTTGTACAAGACTCTTTATCCTATCCTTATTGTAAACACAGAGGTTCTTCTCTCCTCCTGTTAAAAAACACAAAGCAGGCACACATGGACAGACGCTCACTTTCCTGGATAATTTAAAATTAGAAAGTACAGAAAGGCGAGGAAGAAGGAAAAAAAAAAAAACCCCACAAAACAAACAATCCCAAAACATTTAGTTCACATATACAATTTCCCTAGGATTTCCAGATCAAGAGTCTGCATTACTACAGGAATTACTTGTTTCTGCTGCTGCGCCTTTTTTAGTGCCTCAAGCCTCCTTTGTTTAAGGCATTCCAATTCATCTTCATCCATTTGGTCCAGCTTCTGTATTTCAGCATCCAGGTGTTCTTCCACAACCTTGGTAGTCTGAAGTATTTCATTCTCCAGAACTTTTTGAAGTATTTCAACAGAGGTATCAGCAGCCATCTTTAACTAGAAAGCGGTCTCTTCAGAGCTGTGGAAATAGTAATACATGGAATTAACATTTACACAAACACTTAATTAAAAGTCTGACCTCTCTTACTTGCAGTTCACACTGTAGAGGAACAAAACGCTATACTATTCGAAGATAACAGTAGATAGTTCTTTTCTATATTGCAATCCCCTTTGGAGGATACTTTCACAATGAACACAGATGGCAGAAAAGATACCAGTCAAGTCCTGTTCTCTCAATCCCAAAGGCAGCTGTTGAAAGCACACAGGAATCTGAAATTGCTTGTCAATATAAAGAAGTAAAATTCACCAGTTTCAAAGGAACACTCATCCCGAGCCAGATCCATATACCTTTAATAAACATTCTGAAACTAGAAGACACAATTGGAAAGCTCCAAACTGCTGGAAGGAGGTGTAAGATGTCTCAGATAAGTCTAAGTAATACTCAGTTTATAAGTTTCTGCCAGTAGTTTAAATACAATTACTTTAAGTACTTGACGCCTATTAACATATTTAAATCTGAATTAACACTCCTCTCCTCAGCTAAAAGACAGACAAGGCCTTCAACAGCGAACGCTTTAGGCCAATACACTGCTTCAATTAGTACAAGAAAACTATTGCAAACACCACCCTATGGCAGCCAGTGAAGGGATTAAAAAAACCCCAACAACCACTACCTAATTGATGTGTGAAGAAACACAGCTAAAATAATTTTCTGTAAAGTTCTCCCTGCTCAAACACTTCAAAGGGCACAAAACACTGGCTGTGGTGCATGAAGAGCTGGGGGAGTCTAAATGCTTCATAAGGCACAAAATACTAAGAGCAGGATGCACGAAGAGCTGGACAACATAATTGATTGTTCTCTCCATTAAACTTAGGCTACAAAAAACTATCACTGCAATGAGTGACAGTTTTGAAACCAGGATGGTGCACATTCACCCTAATCACATTCTCAACCTGCAGGCCACCAACTTAATGTGCTGAATTTGGGTTCCAGCGTACTCTTGGCCATATTTCAAAATAGCCAAACTACCAGAGCCACTGGCTTCATAAACACCTTGCATACAGAGGCAAGAAAGCATTTTAAGTAGCGATGGGCAATGTACCAACATTACGGCAGCACTCCAAGCGTAATGCAACATCAGCAGTGCCAAGCCTGCAGCCACACTCCACGTGTCACAGCCACGCTTGCTCTGACCTGCAGCACCTTTTCTTGAGTCCCTCTCCCCGAAACTGCTAACTACAAAGTCTCTCCGTTAGTGTCTTCCATCCCCCTGTCTCGTATTTACAGAGGAAACAAGAACCTTGCCAGGGCAGATCAGAGGCCACTAGCTCTTCAGGAGAGGGAGGGAACCCTGCTCAGCCGGGGCAAAGGGAG